GCTATTTAAATCTCTTTGGCTTTGAAGGCACGAGACAGAGTAAATGCAGGAAGGAGAAATGTGAATTATCTAACCTCAAGGGTCCTGCAAACCCTGGTTCCAGCTGTATCTGAAATCAGTAAAGCAAAACCATGACTGAAAGAACTTACATGGAGATTTAAGTGGTAATTGGTGATGACATCATTTGTGGTTGGACTAGATGTGAAGTGCGAAAGAAAGAGAAAAGTCAAGAATTACTCTGTTTCTGACCCGAGCAACTAGGACAGAGTTACCATCAATTATAATGAGGAAGACTATTGACACAGTGTGCATTTGTCCTAAGCTTGTTTTGTGAGATAAATTGTTCATGTTTCCATCTCCATTGATGGCCCAGAATAGTTGCAGAATCATCAAATTTATATTCTTAAATGTTCCCTCCAACTTGGCTTTTTCAAACCATTGTCATTGTTGCTGTTTATAAGGACAAAGCACTCTTGGAGATGGAGAACTAGCCAAACCACCTGAAGTAAGGGACTGTCATCACAAGAAAAATATTCAAATGCTAGTGTTTGATTAGAAATTTCAGAATAATGGCAAGGCTGTTCCTATGAAAATCCAACATATCTTCTCCCTTAAAATATAACTCAATATGATTAATTCTCCAAAAGAACCATGACATTTTGCAGACATTTATGCATAAAGTAAGACAACAGTTTGGTTCTGTGAAATCAGGCTGCAACCTCTTCCAGAGACAGTGTTGGTGCCCTCAGAATATACTATTTACATGGATTACAGTGCTCACCAAAGTTGTGCAATGCACTGGCCTTGACGTCATCATTCTAATTCCACTGAGAAGAGTTATGGAGAGGGCGAATTATAAATTTGTACAGGTGCTGATTGTAATAAGGAGCCACAGTGTGTACACTGTACTTAAAACCGAGTGAATTATGGAGTGAATAAATAAAAGTTTCCAAAATAACATTTCCAGAAATATCTAGCATGTTTCCATTCATTTCTTTTCTTTCTAAGTGGGCCAAAACTATGTAACATGGACACCTCTAATTGCAAGGAAGGCTGGGACTTCGTTTGTTTGTTTTGTAGCCTGGGAACACCGATGCTCCAAAAGCGTAGGTCTCTTGGTAACACAGAGGAGAATGAATAATTTGGTACACAGCCAGCACTAGTAGTGTCTGCCATATATACCCCTTTCTTTGTTTATATAAATTAACTTGGTTAACCATTTGTTTTCTTTGCAAAAAATTTGCTCTTGGATACCCGCAAAAAATTCCTGATAGCATTTGAGAAATTGCCCAATGATAACATTTTATATAAAATGCACTTTGTCACAATAAGAAGTAACAAAGAGAAAGACCAGTGAATTTGTGTTTCTTTGTTTTCTTTTTAATATAGGATGGGTTATAACATTATTTTGAAAACTAATGTCTTATCCCAATCTTTGATTTTACTAGTTTACTTATTAACTTATGGAAAATAAACTCAAAGACACTCAGAAAACACATTTATTCTTTATTAATGCAAAAAAATTAATGACCAGAATTGCTATTTTCTAAGTACCCTTAGACACGGTAGTGCAAACAAAATACTTAGAACAACATTTTGATATTTGTTAAGCAATCAATCATGCCACTTGAACTTTTTCATTCTCACCATATCCTGGAATACTTGAAAAGCCAAATTCAAAATATGAATGTTCTGGGCAACATAGTAAGACTTTGTCTCTACAAAAAAAAAAAAATTAAAAATTAGCAAAGCTTGGTGGTGCGGGCCTGTAGTCCTAGTTACTTAGGAGGCTGAAGGTGGGTGGATCACTTGAGACCAGAAGGTTGAGATTTCAGTGAGTCATGACTGCACCACTACATTCCAGCCTGCACGACAGAGCAACAGCCTGTCTCTAAATAAATAAACAAATAAATAGAAATACAACAAGTTTTTGGAAAATATGAAATCAAAGTAAAATAAACTAGTTAGACATGAATAAAATAGGCCATGTGGAACTCAGAAAACTGTCATTATTCCAGAGTACACCACTTTGATGAGCAAAATGCTTATTTTCCACATAATCTCTGCCTCTTTTTCTGTTTCTATGCTTCCCACCTGCCTCTCCTTCTCTGTCTGTTTCTTCCTCTCTTTCCATGTGAGGATAAGATTTGATAAATGATGCATCCTGGTCTCTAGTGTATCATTTCTAAAATCACATTGATAAGGACAGGAGGCAGGAAAATACTGGGTAGAAGAGGACAGTACCCTGCAAAGGCCCCACACTCAAGCCTGGAAACACACAGCCCTAAATAGAAACATGCATTGCTAGTTTTCCTGTCCAAATATCACCTTTTCCAAGGCCACTCTGGCCTGCCATGCCCCTATCCTCTGCTCATATAGATCGCAAGCTCCACAAGCAGAGAAACAGAGGAACAGAAGAGTGGCAGAGTGGCAGAGCATTGCAGCAGAAAAGGAGAGAAGAGAAGGAGCATCCGAATGTTGAGAGGAGTTTGGCTGGGGACGGTTGGAGGGGAATTTACCATAGACGGCCAAACCCCAGTGGAAAGTCATCTTCCCACTCCATCCCCTTTCCAGCTCCCCATCCATCTCACTGAGACCCACCTCCACCACTCAATGAAAGCCCCTCAGTCACCATCCTTCAAGTCCAGGTGACCTGATTCTTCTTGGACACTGGACAAGGACCTGGGTACCAAGCAGTCAGGGTGTAAAAGGCTGTTACCCCGACTCTCCACTGAGCTGGTTTAACACTTAGCCATCCATGGATGGCAACTGTTAAAAGGGCATTAGTTGTAACACATCCCTAGATGCTACCATGGGGCTGGAGCCCAAAAGCGCTTACGTCAGCTCCTGTACTTGCCCATCTGCATGCTCCCCCTCCTGTAAGGGGCTTGAGTGAGTGGTGGTGAGCAAATGAGTCACACCCCTGTCACAAGTCCTACGACGGGGTCAGGGAACTCTCCCATTTCAACATGCTAATCAACAACTTATATCTATGTACAACATTTCTTTAAGACAGTCATTTGAAGGTTTTTATATTTGTTTCTTTTTAGATGGATGCTTTCCATTTTAGGGGCACTCCTTTTTCTCCTTGCCAAACTGATGAAAATATCCCAACCTGTTAGAATACTATTTTATCTTACTTCTCTGAAAGCCATCAATTTTTCTTGCATTATATTTGCTTACATTCAGAAAATGACATTTCTATCTTTTCTTTTGATTCTAGGAGTTTTTTTTATTACAGTCCTGCCACCCTATATTCCCTGCCTAAAATACTCTATTCTTTGGAAACCATCTAATGTAAATCTCAAGAAAGGGCCACTAATGAGCTAAAGATTGACATAGTAATTGTTGTTTCAATGAGAACAACATTCAGAGAGTGAGGAGTGTGCATTTCTCTTACTTCGTTTCAATAGTAGCAATCAAACTTCTAATTAAAATTAGGCCCGCAATTATTTCTAAATGATTTTGATGACTTCATTAATCTGCAGTGATGAGTTACCTCTCTAATATTTAATATCCTAACAAGGCAAGCCACGTATTATTAAGCTCAAGTCAAATTTCAGTGAGATCTCTATTTCTGGACACTAAGAATCCATTGCTTCTCTTGTATGGTGAGGGGCATATTTTCAGAAACAGTTCATGTCCTAAATAGACTGAACATTTGTCTCATATTGTAAACTTCCAGAGGGCAGACAACAGTGGCAGTTGTAATGCATTTTAGCTCCCTCAAAGGAGCACTAAGGGGAGGTGAAGAAGCTGCTCATCAACTCTCCCAGCCACTCGGCTGGAACTCCTTGGTTTTGAGGTTGAAGTAGCTGCTCTCAGAGGCTAGTGGGACCTCTTTTATTCCTGAGGGGAGAGTTGCCCTTTTGTAGGAATCACATCTTTAAAGAACAATTTTATTGTAACATGCTCAGAGGTTGCTTTTATCATAGTCCTGTCCTTGGGGATTCTCATCCGTGATCTCATGATGCTCCTAATCTTTACCTCCAATCCTATCTTCTCTTTTGTGATCTGGACTCAACTGAAACTGTCCTTATAAATTTTATAAAATTTATCATAGAAGAAGGGAGGGGGAAGAAACCAAAATAAACCAAGCTTCCAGCACATTCAGCATTAATGATTAGGTCAGCTTGCTCTCTGACCTGCTTCCTCATGGTTGTTCACAGCCTACTGCCACAGAATCACATAAGCCCTGTCACAGATTATGGCTCCCCTTAACTGCTTTATAGTCAACAACCTAAACACTATGAAATATTAAATTTACCCATTTGAGGTATTCTTTCAAGGCCTGCATACCAGTGAAATTACTGACATCAGCTGGTCTGAAGGACCCCAAGGGAAGCTGACTTACCCAAACAATGCAGTTTCCACATCCTGATGATTTCATCCTTCTTGCCCCAACCAATGAATGGCCCCAATTTTTCATCCCCTTGCCCTCCAAAAATCCCTTTAAAACCCCGACCCCAAACTCCTTGGAGAGATGGATTTGAGGGTCTTCTTCCATCTCCTCAGCTACCCTGAGATCATTAAACACTTTCTCTGATGTAAACCCAGTTGCCTCAGTGTATAGGTCTGTTATTATGCAGCGGGCATATGAACTTGGTCCTCTAACACAATCATCCAACTCATTTCTAAACCTCACTTGAATAACAAAGAATGAGGGCTTTGTCAACCCATTTTCTTTACTTTAAAATATGTTCATTATTGAGGAATCCCAGTTACCTATGTGAGAAAGTTGAGGCTCCGGGCTTCGCAGAAAGTCTCCGGCCAGCAGGTAGCAGGTTAAGCAAACACCGGCTGCAGGAATTTGCTCTTGCTCACCGTTTCTAAGACTGGGAGCACGCCGCATTCTCGCTGGCGACCGGGGGTCGCGCATGCTCTGTGAGAGGGAGTGGGTCGCGGCTCCCACCAGAAGTGTTCTCTCTCAGGCTGCATTTCCTTCCTGTGCGAGGCCGGCTGAGGGCATTTCTCTGGCTGCTTCTGCTCCTGGGTTAACAATCAAGATGGTACATGCTGAAGCCTTTTCTCGTCCTTTGAGTCGAAATGAAGTTGTTGGTTTAATTTTCCGTTTGACAATATTTGATGCAGTGACATACTTTACTATCAAATGGATGGTAGATGCAATTGATCCAACCAGAAAGCAAAAAGTAGAAGCTCAGAAACAGGCAGAAAAACTAATGAAGCAAATCGGTATGAAAAATATGAAGCTCTCAGAATATGAAATGAGTATTGCTGCTCATCTAGTAGACCCTCTTAATATGCATGTTACTTGGAGTGATATAGCAGGTTTAGATGATGTCATTACAGAGCTGAAAGACACAGTCATCTTACCTATCAAAAAGAAACATTTGTTTGAGAATTCCAGGCTTCTGCAACCTCCAAAAGGTGTTCTTCTCTATGGGCCTCCAGGCTGTGGTCAAACGTTGATTGCCAAGGCCACTGCCAAAAAAGCAGGCTGTCGATTTATTAACCTTCAGCCTTCGACACTGACTAACAAGTGGTATGGTGAATCTCAAAAATTGGCTGCTGCTATCTTCTCCCTTGCCATAAAGCTACAACCATCCATCATCTCTATAGATGAAATAGACTCTTTTCTATGAAACTGTTCAAGTTCTGACCATGAAGCTACAGCCATGATGAAAGCTAAGTTTATGAGTCTCTGGGATGGATGGGATACTGATCACAGTTGCCAGGTCATAGTAATGGGAGCTACCAGTCGTCCTCAGGACCTTTACTCTGCTATAATGAGAAGAATGCCTACAAGATTTCACATCAACTAGCCTGCTTTAAAACAGAGAGAAGCAATCCTGAAACTCATCTTGAAAAATGAAAATGTGGATAGGCATGTAGACCTGTTAGAAGTTGCCCAGGAAACTGACGGCTTTTCAGGAAGTGACCTAAAAGAGATGTGTCGAGATGCTGCCCTCCTCTGTGTTAGAGAATATGTTAATTCTACATCAGAAGAAAGCCATGATGAAGATGAAATTCGGCCTGTTCAACAGCAGGACCTGCATCGGGCAATGGAAAAGATGAAGACATCAAAGGATGCAGCATTTCAGAATGTTTTAACACATGTTTGTTTAGATTAAGAGTAAAGATTATTTGTACAGTTCAGTGATCTAGTTTGGTGTGTCCTCTTAGCAGTCAGTGGAAATAGAATGGAAAGAGTGTTCTTTAAACAATGAGGGAGCTCAATGTTTATGGTTTTATACTCTGAATTCTAAGTTATTGAGATATAGTTGTTACATAAGTGGTATTACTGTTTGTCAAAAATCATGAGGAGGAACAGTTGAATCCAGCCTGAACATGGGTGCTTGTGTTTGACCTCTTTAGCCATATATTGTACAGCCTTATAGAATCTAAGCTGGTCTTAAAGTCATAAATGATTCATTGGGTCATTAGTGAGAAACAGGGATGTGGTTAGGTGCTGGTTCCTAGACATGCGAGTATGCGTTTGTGTGTATGCGCATATGTGTGTGTATATTAAATGTATATATCCACACATTTTATATTGACATTCTGTAGATATGTTTGAATACAGAAACCTTTTTTACCCCAACTACTGAATCCAGGAGTACCAAATAATATATAGTAAAACTAAGATTTAAGGTTGTGTCAAAAAGGTACAGTGATTCAGCCATTTGCATTTGTCATTTGTTTCAACCTTTTTTAAGTTGAGTGTTTTTCTTTCTGCAGTTGATTAGTTGGATCCTCCACATCTTGCATATATACATGGGCTCAATTATTATGTTTGTCAGGATAATCAAATAAAAATATTAGTTTGTGATCAGCATTGAATGGTTGTTAGGCAGTCATGTGCTCAATACTGATTTCACCTCTTTCTGTAAGTACACTGAGTATAAACTTTTTAAGTTTAAATTGATTTACATGAAAGTGGATTAAAAGACTTTTCAAAAGCAAAGGTTTGAAAAACCTCAGTACCCTTTAATACATGTACATTTCTTTACTTTCTTCATTTAATGTAACATATGTCTGTTGTAACTATGTTTCTTAAATATTATTTTAAGGTTATGTGTTCTTTAATTATGGTCAAATATAATTTGGTCACCAAAAATGAAATAATAGTTTAAAACAAGTAGCTGTTACTAAGTGTGCTAAAAATACTCATTTTGTAATTAATTTTACTTTTCTTAGTATATTATAAATTATACCCTGGTCAAGTACAAATGTACACATCAAAATGCCCATATTGTATCTATCTGTAGTCATTTAATGTGAATTATATGTCAAATTTTTTTCAATATTTTACTAACCAGAATTCTGTTATAGGCACCTAAACATGCAGCATGAGGAAAATGGCACAACACAATCTTGAGGTGCCTTCTGAATCATCAGATTAAATTATGCTTCATATGTTTTTGATTTTACTATACTTATTTAAAAACTCTCAATCTTTATTCATGTGTTACTGGATTAATTTATCTGATAATGTCTCTCACAACAATCTATAAGATCATTTATTCTTTGGTTGTACTTTGAATGGAGGGGTAGAAGTTTCAGGTGAACACTGGATAACAAAAAGCAAGTTAATGGAAGATTGTGAAGAGGATGGAAAAATTGAATACGAGATGCCAAAAATGGAAAAAAGTGTCCCATTTTTAATAACTATATTATTATAGTTTTATAATTATATAAATGTGTAATAAAGGGGTCCCTCTTTAAAAAAAAAAAATAGAAAGTTGAGGCCTCTTTCTCAATTTCTTTTTTTTTAACCTCTCATAATTAATCAATGATCAAGTCTCAATCCTTCCATCCTTTTAACATTTCTCTGTCCTCTCCATTACTTCATTCCTGACATTAAAAAAAAAACTTAGACCATTATCATTCAAAGTACCTCTTGATAGCTGTCTCCCAAGCACTGCTTTCCTGTTCCCGATAGTAATCTAAATGTTGTTCCCATATACACCTTTCCTGTATATGACCTGGATAATTCAGAAAAACCTATTCCAACCCCCAACTTCAGGGACAGGTCTGATTGATTGAATGGCAATTCTACCATCGTTATCCCAAAGAGTGGTTCCTAAACCTAGCTTTTCATATTCCCATGAACAAAAGATTAGATGAAGAGCACATAATCCATTTTACCAATGAGATGCAAGGGGACAACTGCTGGAAATTTTCTGAAGACTTAAAACCTGAATTAATTCACCACATGAGGAAAACCAGCCAGAAGATAAAGTATAGCCCAGGAACGAAAGGGAAATGGATCTGAGACAGGTGCTTTAATCCATCTTCAAAGCCCACCCTACTTCACTACTTTCATTGCATGAGCCAATAAGTTTACTTATTTATTAACAGAATTGGACTTGGAATATCTCTCATTTGCAACATAGAAATCTTAACTATTGATTCTCTGTCACTATGGTTATCACAACAGTCTCCCAAGTTATTTGTCTATCTATGGTATAAGCCCCTAATGCTGACCACTCATTCTCTTGACAGTGATCTTTTGAAAAACTTTTCAAATCTGGTCATGTGCTCCCTGCTTAATCTCCTGCCATGGTACCTTATCATCTTTAGAATAAATTAAACCTCATCAACCTGACACACAAGGTCTCAATTATTGAATTTTTTTCTGTCTCCCCAGTCTCATATCTCCCTTCTTCTGAATGTAAATTCTATGCTCTAACCCTGGTCAAATGATTAGGGCTCCCAAAACACAAGGTTATCATTCACCTCTTTGCCTCTGACATGCAGGTTTCTCATTCTAGAATTCAATTTATCTCCATTCTCTTCAGCAATCACCTATTTTGAACCTACATTGTATCCAAATGTGTGCAATGCGCTGGCAAAGTTATTTTCTCCTTGCTTACCTGATGCCACCCTGCTGTAAAACCTGTCTCCTCCTTAGAGAACTGTCCTTTCTCCTTTGTTTCATGCTTCCTTTCTTGTTAACACATATACTACTGTTTTAATGGTTTGTTATAATTGGCCTCTCTTTAATGTCTGTCTTAAAGTCAAGATATATTTATTATTTATCTCCATATTTCGAACTTCCTAAGGTCAAGGTTAGTATATTGATTTATTCACACAATTGAGCAAATAGAAAACCAGATCGTTAAAACTGGGAGTCACATTAAGTATGAGCTAATACTAAGAATGAGTGAGGTGACCTACTGCCTGCTGAAAAATGGCCCCTGATACTTGGCTTCTATGTAAGAGGTGCCATAGCAAGTGAAGTGGCTGATGGTGATTGGAGAGCATGTACAGATGCCAGAGACATGCACATCTCAGCTCAGATCATTGCTGGGAGGTAAATAGGCTCCATGTTTCCAGCACATCTAATGGTCGTTCAAAAAAAGAAAAGAAAAACCCACCACAGAGGGCCAATATGATTGGCCTCACCTTTATGGACTAAATATGTCCAGGGCCCGATAGCATCCTCCAATTTATTCCAGTCTCATTTTGCAAGTGAGGAAACCAAAACCAGAACCAAAACACAGTTTCCCCTAAGAGATCACTTGATTGAGAGTACATGCCTCTCCTGCACACTCTAATGGACGCTGCACATTTAAAGATTTAGAGGAGCTTCTTTATCTGTATCCCTCCTCCATCACAGTGCATGTTCTATGAATGTAGAGAGTTCCCTTGTCTTTCACCTTCCACAGGACCAGGAACGCAGTGCTCTGGAAATACTCCTTGAATGGATATTAAATGGAAATCATGCTGCTGTCAGACAGTATTTGACCCTTGGCATCATCACCACCTTTAACATGTAAATTTGTAGATCCACTCAATAGGACATTTCATAAAACTTTCCTTGCTGAACTCTTGAAAGTTTGGAGTGGAATGGATGGTACATCTTAAGGTACTGGGAGAGTTATGTAGATTAGTCTCTGCTACAAGGCATAAAGTTGACATAGAAGAATAACGACTTGTGTTAGGCAAAGAGGAAGAAGCATCAGTTATAGAGGTGGATATGGAGAGCTTCCTTAACTGAGTGACCATGTGTATGTAGGGTTCTGACAAATAGAGAATGAACTGTTGGCCTGAGGAATTGGTGTGCCATCTCAACAAATGTTGGGCATATATTCACAGTGTCTTGCTGCACTCATTTTTGCCTCCATGAGCATCTCTGTACTAAGTAAATGTGTAGGGGAGATTTTCCTAGCTGTCAAAGGCAGAATAATGGCCTGCTACATATCCATACCCCAATCTTCAGACCCTGTGACTATGTTACGTTACATGGCAAAGAGTAATTAAGATAATGCATGGAATTATTGTGGCTAATCAGCTGACCTTAAAATAGGGAGATTATTCTGGATTATCCAGATAAAACCAATGTAACAATAGAGTCCTTATAAGTGGAAGACAGAGACAAAAGAACCAGAGTCAGGTGTAAACTAAAAATAAAACTCTAAGCCCCAACCAACTGTACAAACCCCCTCTTGGCTAAGAAGACACCATTAAAAAACTTGAAAACTGACAGGCTAGGAGGTCAAACACACCTGGTTATACTCCCTTCCTTTTGGAGTTTAGCGAAAACAGTGTTAAACCGGAGATCATAAGACTGACAGGACAGACTATGTGGCAGTCAGATATCAAACTGCAAACAGGACTTAAGGCCATGCCAGGCAAGGGTTAAGTCATTCACCCTTACACTTAAAAAATAAATTATGTTCTAATTGTCACAAATATTTCCTTTTTCTCTAGCAAGTGGCTAAACAAATACTGGCCTTGAAATAAGCAATGTTGAAACTTTCCACTTTACCAATCATTAGACACTGACTAACTGAGGGCCCCCGTTTCACCAGCCCTAACTAAAGCTTTGATTGGACAAGAGACTGATTTCAGCGACTTTCTCCCGATTAGAAGACCACTGACCATGGATAAGTTTTGGTCAGTTTGCAGAGGCTGCACACTTGAGTGCCTTTGTGTCCCGAGAAGACTTTTAGACATACAGGGTCTAGTTGTCATATATCTAAGTGTTAAGTCTCCACCTCAGAGTGAACATAGATTGTATGTTACATGCATGTTTATTCAGTGCGCATGTGTCAGGACCATCTTCCTGAATATTCAGAGCTTCTCCTACATCCTGTTAAGTATGTATGTGTAGCCAATCTGTTCATCATAAAGCTCCTAGCCTAACCCCTCCTTCTTTGAAGTGCCACCCCTTGTCTTTGCCAGACTATGCTTCCGACTCTGTGAAATGGCCACGTGCAGGTTGTAACCCTTTACAAGAAATAAAATATCTTTTTCTAAATGTGTGGATCTTGTGTTTTTAAATTAACAGACTATGATGTGTGACCATGAGTGCAGAGGTTAGAGTGATGAAGTTGTGAGCTTTGAAGACTGAGGAAGAGATCCATGAGCCAGGCTATGTAGGCAGCCTCTAGTATATGGGAAAGGCAAGGAAACAGAGTCTCTAGAGCCTCCAGAAACACTCCCTTATTTTTGACCCAGTGAGACTCATTTTGGACTTCTGATCTCCAGAATTGTAAGAAAATTAATTAGCATTGTTTTAAGCTGCTGTTTATGGAAATTTGTTACAACAGCCATAGGAAGCTCATACATTAGCTGTTTGACTTTGACAAATCACCACACCTTTTGGAGCCTTGCCTGTGTGAGACAGTATATAAAATCAACCCTAAAAACTAGCTTTACTCTTATGATTAATATTACATAGACGATACCACTGAGCTAACAATAGTTTTAATGGGGTGTAGGCCTCTGTCTTTATCATAATTGTGGTCAACCTACATGCTTGATTTTTCTGTTTACATGGTGCTATCAACCCTGAACAGCTCTGGGCAGAGAATTCTGGCTGACTCATTGCAAGCATCACTGAATTCCCACTGCATATTGCCATGTTCGCTGACTGAGGTTTCTGCTGGAAATATCTGTTGCCTAGTTAAGGGAGTGTTCCCTGCTTTGAGAGCCTAGGCAACTGCATATGTGAAAGTTTCTGATTTCCTGGGATTACAAATTAAATGTCAGGGAAGATAAAAATGCTGTGAAAGGATTCCAAAAAGCAGTGCAATGAATTAGATAAGGAGAAGAATCCCTGTTTGGCTTGGGAAGCACTTTCATTGAAGCCACTAATAGATAAGTCTTAGATGATGGCATTCCCCTCATCCACAGCTCCTCACCTATTACAATAAAATTAGATGTTGTGCTGGTTGAAAATCATGCACTCTCTCTCCTGAGTAAGATCAGGAATCAGAATAGGTTGTGTTTTTACCAATAGCAAGTTATATTTACATTCTCTTTGATTCTATTTCTTCATCTGTAATATGACACTAGAAGAGTAACAAAAGACACTGCAAATTTAAACATGATAAGGCTAACATTTTTGACTGCTTACTATGTGCTAGGAATTGTTCCAAGTACTTTTAATGTAATATTTAGTCTTCACAACACTGTGAAACATTCCAGTTTTACAAATGAGAAAATTGAGGCATAGGGAGATACATTTCTCTAGGACTCAGAGGTACTAAGTGCGGAAAATTTTACTAATATGCTTAAATGCCTCTCTAAGATTTGGTACTTGGCATGGTAAAGGTTCAATACTGTGAACTGATGTTATATGGCTGCCTTGCAGTATAGTGTAGTTGTTAGGATTAAGAAAAAAGTCTTTTGA